CCCCCCTGTGGTCCACTTGAATTAAGAGCAAGATACAAAAGTAATAAAGAAATATTCATAGAATCATAGGATCACAGAGTTGGAAGGGGCCATACAGGCCATCTAGTAGTCCAACCTCCTGCTCAATGCAGGATCAGCCTAGAGCAGCCCTGACAAGTGTTTGTCCAGTTGCTGCTTAACAACTGCCAATAAGGGGGAGCTCACCACCTCCCTAGGCTGATTCCACTGTTGCACAAATCTTCTTGTAAAAAAGTGTTTCCTAATAACCAGCTGGTACCTTCCCACCCTTAATTTAAACCCATTATTTTGAGTCCTATCCTCTGCTACCAACAGGAACAGAAGCTAGGGGTAGCACTGGGAATCAGGAAAAATGGAATGGATTAATCTCTCAGTGCTAACCAGTGAGATTTAACCTGTCCAGCTGATTTGATCTTTAAAAAACCTGTGGGAAATCTTTAAGAAGGATTTCCTGTGCCACAAACGATTCCCTGTATCCTTACCTATGAAAGTACAGGAGCATTTGTGGGCATTTGTCAGTGAAGTTAGTTTGAAATAAGGAACTGTGCCAACTTAAAAAAACAACACCTTAGCTCTTGATACAATTGCTTGATGATTTCTAATGAAACTCATTTTGTTAATGTTTGGAATTTGCACATTGCAATGGGCTGAACCACTGTGCTTCAGGTGTTTGCAAGAACATGATGTCAAAATATGGTAACACACCAAAGGCCACGACTGAAACTATATGACACTAAGCCTCCACCCCGACCCACCAATTCTAAAAAGAGTCTTACCTGTTATCACTAATAAAATCAATAATTTCCTGCTCCATTTTCAACAGTATCATTCTATCCCTGTTAATACAAAATAAAAATAATTCAATTTTACCACCATTTTAGGCTACAACCATGGGAGTAATTCTGGTCAGAAATTATGACCCAAATTAGAATTCTAAGGGGAAAGAAGAACTTCGTTTTACAAGCATTCTCTATTTGTTTTACAAGTGTTCTCTGCCTGTAATTGTTGAACTGAGTTGGGAATGTTTCTCCCATCAGCAACTGATATTTGAAAAGGATTTTAAGTAGCCACTCTGGAATCCAATTTTGGCAGAAATACAGATAAAAATAAACAAATTCTATTTAATGATACATTTTAAATATGTATTACTCTGTATAGAGGAAATATGGTCTAGACTGCAAACACAGCTGTGAAATGTCTGCTTGGTCATTATTTTTAAAATAAGGGGTGCTGTGATGCCTGGTCAGTTAACTTTTGCATTGGTGTAGGGCAGTGATGTGTGATTTCTACCTATGTGATGGTCTATGATAGAATAGAGAAGTTTTACTCTTCAGCAAAAAAAAAAAGAAGTGTCATCTGACTACTTTGTGAGTGATTATGTATTCATCTCTAGTTGCCAATCAAAAGAGCTTGAATAGTGTAGAGTTTAGACAGGGTTGCCAACTCCAGGTTGGTAAATTCCTGGAAACTTAGGGTTAGAGTCTGGAGAGGGGACAGTTTGTGGAGGGGAGGAAGCCCAGCAAGGTATAAAGCCATAGAGTCTACCTTCCAAGGCAGCCATTTTCTCTGGGGAAACTGATTTCTGTATAGAGATCAGTGGTAATTCCGGGCAATCTCCAGGCCCCATCTGGAGGTTGGCAACCCAGGGTTACAAGCATGAGCAGTGACTTGGGAATTCCCCAGCTGAAATCTTAGTTCAGCCAGCAGCCTACTTTACAGAACTATTGTAACAAGCACCAAGATAATGCATGTGAAACACTTTGTGAAAAGCTGTACATCAACTTGATATTATTCAAATATTATACCACATTGCAGGCCAAGGTGCAGATGAATATAGCCAGCTGTGCTTAATTACAGTGACACAATCTAGAATGAACCAGAGGAAACCCACCCCCATACTCCTCATCGTCTTTCATTTTTCCATGCAAATTCTCCCAGCCAAACATGGTTGCCATCCATCCAACCAACCAACCAACCGCAACAACAAAAAATTGGCTTTTTTTAAACTTATGAGCCAGTTCAGAGAAAAGCAAGGGATAAAGCTTAAACTCCTCAGGTGGTAGGGTTATTTTTAGCTATACCTGTTAGGCAAATAGATCAGTTTTGACTTCAGTCTTGGAACTGTCAAAAAATGACTGTACCCCCTCATTAGACCTATCAAAAATGCTGGAATCTAACTCTGATTTTCCTCCAGATCAAGTGTCCTGGCTACACCACAGTTCCTGCTCTGGTCTCTACCACCACCAGCATCTACCTTGGCACCAACATTTTTGCTTTCAAGAGCTAGAAACCCTATAGCTGATCCTAACAACCATTAAACATTCTGCTGACAGCAAGGTCGGGCTAATCTGTTCCTTAAAGCTTAATCATGATTAAGCTATTGGCAGCATGACACCTGCATTCTAAAAAAAAAGAAAGAAACAAAAATTCCCAAAGCAAATGCACAAACTAACTGAACTAGAAGCAGGGGTCATTTCGTAGAAAAAGAGCTAGGGGGACTCATTAGCATAACTCATTAGCATATGCCACACCCCTTGACATCACCGGAAGTGTGTCCTCCCCACAGCCGGCGGCGACCTCCAGCGGGCACCAGCAGGGAGCTCCAGGCCCCGCCCTCCCGCACCTCACCCGGGGGGATGGCGTCCCCCCGCGTCCCCCCCCCCAAATGACCCCTGACTAGAAGCCATAAAACAGAAAGATAAAACTGAACTAGAAGCCATAAAACAGAAAGACAACATTCGAGTTTGAATACTTCTATGAATGACTCTTCACTTGAGGCCCTTGTCCATAATACTCTATTTATGTTAAGAAGGGTACTGGCATGATTGTGACAAGTATTCATTCAGGGTGGAGTTGATGGGAGTTGATTCAGAGAGGGCTGTAACAGCACACATTTCAAAGCTGATAACTGTCTACACTTCAGAAACGCTGATGTTGCCTATTTTGAGTCATCAGGTATGTGTACGTGCGCATGTCTGCATTGAGGCTAGGTCTCCGAGAAAGTAATTACACTATGGGAAACTGCAAATGCTATAGAGTACATGCTGATTTTTATAGCAGCTCTTGCTACAATCAATATGCTTTCATAGAGCCATAACTATTATTTCCCACCCCATGACCACCACATTTTCCAGAACGAACACTGCATTGCTCCGAGTTGCTAAGATCTCAAGCTATTCAGAAGCATGATACTTACCTGGGATTATTCTTTAATGTGTTAACCAGAAATTCGTGCAAATCTATGCCTGTTGAGTCTGTATATTCTTGGCTGCAGTCTGAAAAACACACATTACTAATAGTTTCATTTCTTAAAAGGTACAAAAAAAATTAAAGCCATTGTGTGGAGTAAAGTTTTTTCCCTCCTCCCCAGCTGCCTGATAAGAGCACCTGGTGCATGCGGGCTGTGACTTACATTAGCAAAACGACCCCAATGTAGAGTGGAAGGGGATCCATTTTTTCAAATTTACTGTACACCAACAGCTACAGGCACCATGTATAACTGGATATTAATACAAAGTGCTGTGCTTTAGAAAAAAACAGCAGATGCATAAATCTTCTTTAAGTCTTTCCAGTAGTTTTCAACTGTCAACTACAAAATTTAATGAGCATGTGTGTATGTTATTAATTCGCAAGTGAATCCTAAATTTTAGACACATCCGTGTTTGCCTGGACAAATGTGAAACAGTTACAGTAAATCCAAACAAAATAATGCAGAAGACCAAACAACCGGGAGGATTAATGTTGGTATTTGACCATCTGCAACTCGTTTTGCCGAGGCTACTTTAGGAAAATATTTGGACTTGCTGTCAAGTTTCACCTAAAGCCAAATTTCAAGGTAAATTTGTAAGTTTCTGCTCTGGATCAAAATCTGAGAACTTTCTGAGGGGAGGTGGGGTCTGCACACCCCTAGATGCCTGAAGACAGAAAGTCATCTTGATTCAGTCCAGTTGCAACCAGGAGGATAATTTTTCTGCATTCATCAATAGCTCAGACATCCTCTTGGCCAATTTAACAAAAGTACTCAGTCAGTAAAGACTGGCAGAGCATTATGCAGAATCCATTCCAGGCTCAAACTGTCAGATACTGAAAGAATGATTTATTGTACTAACAAAAGCCCATACCTCATGACATACTGGGAAGTGGCAAGGTGTGAATATGTGTAGGAAGCAATGACTCCCAACGTCATTATTCAGAGTGGGTTTCCTGAACAGCCAATAGTCTAAAACCTAAGACAATCTTATCTGCATGATACTGCATTCACATGTTATGCTTTGATGGCTGTTGAAAGTTTGACTGCGTATTTTACTTGTGCTACTTATTTTATATGTGGGAGGCAACTATGGGCTAAAACCAAAACCCAGGAAGTGATATGCACTCTTCATCTCTAAAAAAAATATTAAAAATTAACAGAGACCATCCCTCAATCAAACAAAGGCAACACAGTCATGACTGAAGCACCAGGTGTCTGTGTTTGGATCTCACTGACATATGGGGCTGCAAGAGCAGGAAGTAATCTTCCCCACCCAGCAGTTCTGGTTGTGCATATGGATCCAGAAATCTACATATTCAGTCACTTTTATCCTTCCCCATCCCTTTCTCCATATAAGCAAGAAAGGACTCATTGTTGGTACTTCCATTCCAACCACATTCTGATATTCACCAGTGTTTCTGGATCAGGGTTGAAAATGCCAGTGAAGCTTTTAAACTGCACTGAGTCACTATATTTGAGGTCTATGGCAGAACATAACTGAGGGGCAACTTCTGCACCTGTAGTTTTAATGCAGTATTTTAAGTGGGCTTTCCACAGTCACATACATATCTGTGTCCTGAGCATGTGCACACATACACAGACACATGCCATATGAAAGGTTTCACCAAAGGTGTAGGGTCCCTAAATACAGATCTGGGCCTGTTCATTCATTATTCAACCCATGAGACTATATCCAGGCTGAAATTTGATCTGGAGGAGGACTCTGGGTCATGTACTCCCTCTCCAACCTCAATTGCGTTTTTGATTCAGACTGAATGTGGGGTGTTGCAGATCACTTGTTACCTTTTCCCTGTACTAAAGTGAGCAGCAAACAGAGTACACAAGACAAAAAGCCCGGTGCCAATTTTATCTCAGAGACAATAGCGGCAGCCCAGTAATGAACATATGGATTCATTGTGTCCCTAAAGCACAATAACATCTCTTCTTTCTTCATGTAATTCTTTATTCCAATTTATTTAGCTCTGAGATGAGTGCTTACCAAGACTGCGCACTTGTGACCCACCAAACTGAACCCAACAAACCCACCACAAATTGCAGTGCTCCAAGTTCATGACAGTTCCCCTTGTTTTGCAGATCCAGGCAGCCAGGCCAAACAGGAGGTTCCGCTGTACCTCTGCCATACATGGTTTGGGGCCTTGCTTGAAGGAGTGGGTCAGAAATGGTGCAGGCTTGGCTCAGCTAAATGTGTGCCACCTATATTGTGTCAACAAATACACATACTACAACCCCACAAACACATATAGGATATATAATATATGCACAAACCAACTGAAATACACATACAAGCATAGATGCACACTCAAATTAAAATGTCTTAATATCTGACTATGATAAATGACTAAACGTTGACTGAAATATTTTTGTTCACCTTTTGATAACATTCTTATCTTGGGTTTTTCACTGTTTCTATCTTTTTCTTTGTTTTTATCCTTCTCTTTTTCTTTCTCAGATTCATCTTTACTAGATTTATCCTCTTCTTGTAGGCTGGGGAAACTTGAAAGCTGTAGCTGTATTGATTCCTGTTGAAAAAAATATAATAATTTAGGGCCAGATTTAGGAAACTTGGCATGGCTTCCAAACTGCATTATGAAGTGCATGCTTAGAAAAGCTGAAGCCAAACATTATTTGGTTAAAAAAAAAACCTTTATCTTAAGAAAATAATAGTGTACTCTTAAGGACAAATTTTACTTCTTGATATGCGTTTTAAATTATGTCAGTAAGAATGTGAATTTAGTCCTGAAGAGATGAGCATCCTGAATAACAAACTTGCTTCAAAATGATTCTTATTGCCTTGCAATTAGAGTCAATTGAAAACATTCTTGTTTAGTAATGATCAGTGCAATCCTATGTAGTTATTCTAACATTAATTTCAGTTGATTTAAACTGGTCTACCTCTGCATAGGTTTACACTGTAAGAGCTGCAGCTAAAATCTGTGGGTCCCACTAAATTCCACTGAATGCAGAGAATGCATTTTTAATACTGTAAAACACAGTAACTTCCATCTCTGCACACTTAGGCTGAAGTAAATTCAACTTAACCCAAGTTTGAAATGGGTGGGACTTGCTTCCACTAGAAAAGAGCAAGAGTCTAGTAGCGTCTTAAAGATGTAACGAGGTATAAGCTTTCAGGAGTCACTGCTCACTTCCTCAGATACAGCTGTATCTGAAGAGGTGAGCAGTGACTCATGAAAGCTTATACCCTGCCATGTATTTTGTTAGTCTTTAAGGTGCTACTGGACTCTTGCTCTTCTACAGCTTCAGACAGACTAACACGGCTACCCATCTTGATCTTGCTTCCAATAGTATGTGTTTAGCATTAGGAAGTTAAACTAGGCCACTTTTTAGTTTGAATAGTTAATGTTTTATTCTGGGAGGAACATTTATTGTTATGTATGTTCTTTTTTAAAAGACCTATTTTACACCTAAAACAGATGGTGGATAAACAAGGAAAGCCAAATTTCTTCACTTTAAAAAAATGTAGACTTATTTAAGATTTTTTAAAAAATTCTTACACTCTGATCCTAAATATTTACTCAGAAATTTGCTGCACATTCTACAGAGCATGGAACTTCAGCCTTACAAACATCATGCTAATTACATTACTTTATTAGCAATTTTTGAAGATTTGTTCTAAGAAGTGTTAACGAACGAGTAGCTCAAATGTCCACACTTCCTGGAATTTATATGTATTGTTGAGAGCTCTAACTTACTATAGCCACCAACAAACTCATTAAAATATAACAGAAATGTTAGTTTTCAAGAGAAAATATGGAAAAATGCAAATTTTATGAAAAAATGTTATTAACTGTTTTTCTGTACTGCACATGAACAAATAGACATATCCTAGTGAACAACAATGCATGCTTAAGCCTCACTGAAATCAATGGGACCTAAGTGCACATAACTCTGTGTTAGATTGTGGCCCCTGACTTTCAAACTGCAGTCAATGAATGAAAGTCATGGTGAATATACCCTGCGATAATGCACTAATACCTATGTACTGAATGACTATCTTAAATTCCTTCCATATAATCACACTGAATGATGCAGTGCAATCATGCTATTATTTCTTCAAATAAAGCAGAGCACTCTAAAAGGCTTTGCCACTCTGAGAATTTTACACTGAAGCCACGGTGACTGTTATAGTGCACTTGCATTTTTATAGGAAATGGAAGACAGACGGGTTTACATACATTCTAAAACAAACATATAAGCATCCAGTATATTCCTTGTGCCATACATATAACAAACCATTTCTACATATTCACTCCAATTGAAATAAAACACACAGAGAGAAGTTCTGCAGAGTCGTAAAAACAATCTATTGTTTGGTTCTTATATTCATTTTTATTGATTTTTTTTCTCAATAGTAAAATTACAACGATAAATACATTCATACAAGGTAAGTTAGCGAACAACAAGAGATGTTCAATTTTGCAATAGTACACTGATAAAACCAATCATATAACATTAGAGGCAACATTCCTTTTAAAGTAAGGACAGAGTGTGCGATCAGGTAAGCTTTCAAGATCAAGTAATACAGGTAACAAGATTTTTCCTACACAGGAAAATCAAGGCAAATTTTCAAATATAATACAAACATTAGGTTTGTAGTACAATCCATACTCTGTTGTACTGGCAGTGTACCATACATTCTGATAAACCCTGTAATTTGTAAACAGCTAAGAAACTCATGAAGAAAAACCCAACTTAACTCAAAAAAGTAAACAATTCCCATTGGCACAATGCTTCCAATATCCTTCAGCCAGTTTAAGGAAGAAGACACTGGTCTAGCTTTCCCAGTGCAAAATGTATCCACATTAAAATCAAGGATGCTTTCCTATCTAATTTTATTATATGAAACCAATCATCCTTAAGAAGAAGGATTGGACTTTAAATAATATTTTAATCTCTGTACTTTTCACAATACTGTCAGAGAATTCTCCCAAGTACCTGACCAAACAATGGCAGGCACCCAAAGTAGCAAAATCCCAACCCTCCTCTGTCTAGCACTAGGGGCAGTTTAGAAGAGGTATTTGCGCTCAGACTTGCTAGTTTTGTGAAGTATGACATTTCTCTCTCCTATGCAAAAAGTACATTAGAAACTGCCATGCAACATTTATACAATCTGATATTTATATTATTGTCCTTTTCAGTTTCATTTAAAACAATAGAAAACACAAATAAAATGCAGAACAAAAGCCACACGTTTCTAATAATGCAAGTTGAGTCAAAGCTTAGTGTTTTTTTTCCAAAATGTCTACCTACGTGGACAAAATAACCTGTCTATTATCCTACTGCATAAATGTCAATGTAGAGCAGCAAGAAAGTACAAAAACCCCACAGCTCAATAAGATATGGGGTGGTGGTTTTTTGGTCTTTCAAAAAAATAAAACTCTCCATGGTAAATAGTTCAAAAAGGAGAGTTGAATTTGCTTCAATTCAAGTTAATAGAAGAAAGTCCTAGAAAGTACACTTAAATGCAATATTTGTGCTAACAGAAGTTAAATCTTTCATTATCTATTGCCTCTCTCTCTCTCTCTCTCTCTCTCTCTCTCTCTCTCTCTCTCTCTCTGGCTGATCTCATTCTCCAAGAATATATCTGAGTCTTTAAGTAAGAAATACTGGCAGGAAGCTTAGAATAGTTTGAAGATTTTGTTTGTTTGTTTGTGATCTTGTTAAAGTTGTTTTGCTAAGCAAATGGAATGAGAATGTGAGCCTTTTGCAATAAGTGTAACAAGAAGGTTTTGCGAAATTCAGAAATCTGTTGAATCAAATTTTCATTATTTGATTCAAAAAATGCTTCTTTGGAATAAATGGTATACAACACCAATACAGACTAATTCAACTACATGCTTTGCAATATTGGAAAATCGGCACCAAGAATCAGAAAAATGAACCATATGGAATACAATGCACTTTTTCTTCGATCACTATGATTTAGGTGGTCAAGAATTTAGCTATTACTATGAAATATGTTCAGGGGAATTGATACATGATGGACCTTGCATGACCTAAAAGCCAGAGTGGACTCAGTACTATGCCTGGTGTTGTCTTAAAAGAGATAGCCTTAGAGAAAATAACAATTCTATTTTTTATTTTAAAAAATAATTAATCTGAATTCTTTTGAATTCTTTTCCATTTGTTGAAATTTTCAGGGGCTCTGGAAAAAAAAGAGAGCAAATAACACCCTGTGACATACTGTAGAGCTACTAATTGATTTCAAAATAAGTACACGCTAATACCAGAAAACTTCATAAAAAGCAAGTGCACTCTTGCGTAAGGTGATTTTGGCTTCCCAAAATCAAGAAACACCTTTAAAGCCCAAATATACCATGTAGTCATGCAAGGGTAAATTAACCATGCAGCTAATGGCAACTAGTTTAGATACCTGATTGTCAATCTCTGTTTCCAGACGAGGGCATGATTCTTCACATACAGCGAGACTTCGCACCAGTTTCCCCTTCCCTCCTGACTGGAATATATTAAAAATAAATAAATGAATTCTGAATGCTGATGTACATATACATACTAGTCTTCTATACTGCATTTCTAATATATTATTAGAGAGAGAGAGACCTTATAGTAAAAAAAACCCTTTGTTTGACTGACATGCATGTTTTTGCTTCCAGAAAGGGCTGGGCGGAGATGACCAAAGGTAACATAAACACAGAAAACATTGAAATTAAGTTATTTTCTATGCATAATTGAGTATAATTCAATCAGAAGTCAACATGCAAATGCTGATCTAATGAAAAAGGGATTAATATCTGTCACAATGAATTGTAGCCAGTATTCCCTCTAAACTGAGTGTGAGCTAGCTCACAGTTTTTAAGCCTCCGGCTCACACATTTTTGTCTTAGCTCTGGAAGGATGGCTCCAGAGCAAACTAATTTATGCAGTAGCCAAATCGCTCGCTCACAACTTTAATGCCAGCAGCTCACAAACTGGAATTTTTGCTCACAAGACTCCACAGTTTAGAGGGAGCACTGGATTACTAAACTTCTGGATTGGATAAAACATGCCACTATTAGAAAGAAAACCTTGGCTGACCATCTCATTCTCCTTTTGGGTTTGCTCACTCCTCTGAGCTTTGGGAACTACCCATCCATATAGATAAATGCATGAAAAGATGCATGAAAAACTAAATGCATGAAAAGATCAGCCACTTAAAATAATGGCAGAGGTATAAGAGGAAAATGATAGCTAATAACCTGTGGAAGTTCAATGACCTTATGACCTTATAACAACAAAGAATAGTGTGTTAAGCATGAATAAGTATGATTTTTTAAAAAAACAAACAAAAACCTATGAACAAGCTTTTCATAGTATGCATGCATTTTATCACAAACCCAATTCCTCATCACTCTCAGGAAGCATTTGGAAACTCTACCTTGGGTCTCTTCTTCTGCTGGTTCTGGTTAGTACCTCGTTTCTGTGAACAGTAATTGAAAAATTATGCATGACTGAGGGTGGAAAACATGCATAAGAAGAATAGTATCTTAATAACAGTAAAATAACAGATTTTTACATCATAAAGTATCAGATCCATGTGGTAAATGTCAAATAACTTGCCAGTTTCCATTGGTAAAAACAAAATTGAATTTTAAAAATTTCTCCTCCGATCATTCCCACTTTATCTTTTTACCATATTTTAATAAAGAAAATATCACAGTGCTGTTTGAAATTATTTAGTATCACAAAAGGTTGTTAGAGATAATGGGCATCACTACAAAAGTTCTATACTTAGTAACGCAGAGCACACTCTGTGTCCACCTCCCTGCCGGTAAGCATTCCCAAAGGGGTTCCTTGTGTTGTATACAGTGATTTGATATATACAATTTTTTAATTTTAAAATATGCTTCACAGAACATGGCCATTCAACAATTCTAATGATACAATGATGCAATATGAATGTAACCGATAGAAATGCAAACCTCTCAGAATGAAAGAGAAAAGCAAAGACATGCAAATAGCAAAAGAAAATGAGAGAAAGGGTACAATGAAACTGAAGAAAAAATAAAAGTAATCTACTTCCCCACAAAAACAAATACACTCATACCCCATATCTTAACAGAAAATTAATTTCCTATTTCCCTGTTCTTACCTGGCCATTCTCGTCTTTTTCATCTATCTCTGAGCTTTCAGTTTTATTATGGATACAGTTCTCTTGCTGAGAGATGGATGAGTCTTGCTCATTTCCAGCTTCCTCTGCTTTCCCTTGCTCAGACATTCTCCCCGACAGAAATTAAAAGAACACAATTTGATGACCTAGAAGGTCAAGATATTAAAAACAAAATAGTGAGTGAAATTTGCTGTTTTATTCCCATGAGAGGTATTTTTGTTTCCTTCATGATGAACTAAGAAACTATAATAAGAAGCCCAAGAATTCAGGACACCACAAATCAGCATAAAAGTAATGGACTGAAGTACTCTAGGTGAAAGTTTAACTGAGCAAATGCAAATAAGTAAAGCATCTTGCTCCTCATGACAGAGAATACAAGTATATCGATGCCACTGCAGTTCTTCACACTACTCTTTCTCATCCCTCAGCTGCAGAAGCAGGGATGGTGAGAAATTACTTTCTCAAGAAGCTGTTGGTTCAAATAAATAACCTACTCATGCTTTCTAGGTTAGAGGGGGCATCGTATAGACTAGAACCTCCAGTAGAATGTCAATCTATCCTTATTTTAAAAATGCTGCACACTCCTATCAGCCAGTCATGCCTCTGTATACACATGAAAAGGTTATAGCATTCTCTACAAGAAAGAAAAAAACCCCTAAATTTGGCTGAAAAGGTAATAATTCAATCTAAACATTAATTCTAAATTTGGCAATAAAGCCTTCATGGTCAAAATTTCTAGGCATCAAAGTGACAGCTCCATTATAAAAATCATAAGCCTCTTCAAAGCCCCATGTCACTCTCTCCAGCACTGTGGAAATCCTCCCAGAAGCCCGTGGCAGGGTGGCTCTGATGAAGATATCTTAACTGCACGGCATTGCTCTCAGCTCACAATAGTCTGTTGTACAGAAGCTCAAAATGGCTTTTCAAAGTTAAAGCCTATTATTATCCCCCCTCTACCCATAAAATACCCCTCTGACACTTCCCCTACTGATTAGTTGTCAAATGTATCTCATGAATAATTTAGCACTTTTTGTTCTCCCCCCCGCCTTTAAAAAACAATCTTTTTAAAAAAATAATAATAAGTGAAGTGGAGCAAAGGAGTTATTTCAAAATAGGTTTCGAAATTTGCCCTTCTCAAAATTGAATGGTTGTTAGATAAATCTGCATTTGGTTGTGCCTCTTTTTACAAGTGGCAATTAGTATTGTACAGATCTTTATTAAAGCCTCTCTTTTTTGTTTATTTCAAAGGAAAATGCCAAGTATACTGATGGCTTTCTACTTTCAGAAAGCTGGATTCACATTCGTATTGTAGCATTTACTTAGGGAATTTAACAGAAAGATCACAAATGGTCCTGTTTCACAATTAAATTTTTGAGTGGAACATGATTTTGCAAAGAACTGAGGAATCGGCACAATGATTTCTTTTAAAACTCTGTGTATTCTGTATTTCTTTGTATGTGAAAATTGGGGCTAAAAGTTGCATGGTTTAAAGATCAAATTCACAGCAATTAAATGTACCAGTTATTTCTGTGAGGTATTCTGTTATACTGTCAAAACGTTCCATTTTTTTTCCTACCATAACACTTCTGTCTGCAATTACTTCTTCAGGTCACAGGGCATTTATATCTGAAATAAAGCCATTCCTTTTCACAAACTGAAATATAATTAGCATGGATTCTATCTCTGAATCTAGCTTAACCCTTAACCCTCTTGTTTGGCAAGTACTCAAGCAACATCTACGCGTGCAACCCCTCACAGACCTGATGTGGACTTATGAATGTCTTATTTTAGGCTCCAGTCCACACACACACACACACACAAACCCACCATTTTCCACCATTAGGCATGTAACAAAGAAGTCATTTACCTTCAGTGCTGCGTTAATTCTGGATGCCTTTCTATCAGTTTCTGCTGCTCCTCACTGGTTAAATCCACACAAGTGATCAATGACAACGTGAGTCCCATGACCCCATTAACAGTTCAGAATGCCAATCTCCATGCTGTTGCTTCAGAGACTTTGACAGTTCATCGTCATCATCAACCTGGCGGGGAGGGGGAAAAAAGACAAAAAGTAAATACCAATCATAATGGTTATAATCATGGTAGGGTTAAAAGATAAAATAAATAGAGACCAGATTTCTAACACTAATGACCAGTTTCAAGCAAATCACTTTCACAGCTTGATGCGGCTCCACCTGTCTCAAAAACTGTGTGCCTCTTCTCTAATGAAGGCTAGAGCCGGCTGTTCAAGTCATAACAGCTCCTACGCACGGAGCTAAAATTAACAATTGCATATTATGTGCTGAAGATTACTCACTTCAATTTTAACCTTTTTAGAGCATTCTGGCACTTCGCATTTTTTAAAAAAGGCTCATCTGTTTGCTTCAATAGAAATCAATATTGTCGCCAAGAAAATATAAATGTCTACTCCATAACTAAAGCTTAGTTTCAGTTTCGAGAATTAATGTGTGTGTTTTAAATTGACATCAATAGCAGGTATAAATGAGCTGACTTCAGAAGGTAGAACCGCTAAAATGGCAAAAAGGGAGTTAACAATTTTGAGCAATAGAAATTAGGGAGAATTTAGAATAACGTGAGATGTAGGAGGGGAGGATTGCTTTGAGAGAGAGACAGAAGGAACGATTGCTTCAAAAATGCATTACGCTATGTTTGTACTGAATGTTGCAATCAGATGAGCATTTGGTTAAAAGAAAAGTGAGAGGTTAAAAGAAAAATAGAAACATTCACAAAGTACTGAAATGCCATGACTGCCTTTTGGGGATCTAGTGTTGGCAGTTGCCTGATAATCCCATAAACCAACCACCAAAATCATCATTTAGGAAAGTAAATACCATGTACCATCTAATTCTAACATACAACAGATTCTAATGGGCCTGGGGATTACATGGTGAACAGTTGCAACAACTGCAAATTGTATTAATTATACACAAACAAGCACAACAATATATTATAATAAATGTTACAAATAAGACTTATGTTTTTAACCGTAGTCTATGCTAGTACGTTGTGTAGACTTATACTGCAAGCATATAATAACCAGGAAGTAAATATACCTCTCTCACACGCTATTGTTTCATGTGTAACAATAACATAAATGCATCTTTCTCCTTGGAGTTTAGCAGAAACTCATTAGTAGCAACAGAATAATTGTCCTCTGAGACAATACTCAGCACAAGCAATGGGAGTGGTCAAAATGCTCTGTGAACAAGCCAACTGCAGACAGAATAGCTCAACACAGGTTATCCTTTCACATTACACAATCTCCTGAATAGCAAGAAAATAAATTAGACGCTTTTTAAGTTCCTAAGAAAGCAAAATAATACCTTCATTGTCTCTTTCTAGCTATGATAAGAGGCAACAAGCAGAGAAAAACCACTACAAAAAAGTACAATGAATGGTAATCACAGAAAAGAAGGAGTTTTGTCAAAAGCTTCACAGTCAGTTAGCATGCCACTACAGATTTCAATAATCTTTTTTTATGGTGCTACATCACAGCTGCTTGAAAAACACTGACAAATCTGAAGATCCTTGCTGCATTGAACTAGACATAATTCTATTTGCCCTGGCACGCCCCAAATGAAGACATACAACACTAAGGCTGAGTTCAGACTGGCAGTTTGGCCCGATATAGGCACATTTCACAAATGGATTAAAGGGGCTGGTTCACACAGCCACAGCTGTCAGGCGTTCCCCAGCCATACTCAACCCATCCTATGACGATTCCCTACCGTGTTAAAAAAGTACCAGGTGAAAGCCATAGCAAACCCTGGAGGGTGCGTTGATCCTGCTTCCAAGAAGTGTGCACGCTAAAAGCCACAAACAAGCAGCATTGCTGTGGTGCTGCACCTATGCGCATAGGCGCATGTCGCTGTAGTGAAAAAAGCCACTTACAGCCGCGACTCTGCTGGGGCGGGCCAACAGTGTGAACGCTCCCTTGTGCCTTCTCCCCGGTATGCTCCCGCATCAGTAGGTGCAGTGCGACCGGGAATCCCTGGCACAACTTGGTCCAGGTCTTTTTGCCCCGCCTCCCTCGTGCTTCATACTGCCACTGTCCTCAGCCCAAGTGTTGTTTCAACTAGTTTATTTAACTGTATTCAGCTTGCATAAATGGCAGATCTATGTCACTGATTGTTTCAATAAACCAACAATTTTGAGAGCATGCTGTGCTAAGCATCCACATGGTCTGCATTCTGGACAAATCCACTCTGGCTTCAAACTCAACTGGCATTTCTGCTAGCCATCCCTATGTGCAGAGCTTCATCCCTCTGTGCCCAGTTTCATCCCTGTTCCTGCTGTGCCACAAGGCTAGTATCAGGTTCAAACAGATGCCATTCAGCACCAAGGGTTCTCCTTCACAGTGCACCCAGCCACAAGACACGTGATGGCATGTTCTGGACATACCCTCCATCAAGCAGATGTCTCAGGGTACTTGTCTATTAACCCTACCTATCCAAGGCAATACATCTTACTCTTGCCAGCTAGCTGTGGCCTAACTAGGCCTATTTAATGGGAAACAAACCCATCCTACAGAAACAGCATGGAGTAGGTGAAAAAGAGGCTCCAGCACAGCCAATTTCCAAGAACCCCCCCCCCCAATTCCTGCTCAGCCTTGTATTGTGACCATCTAATCTCATACGGCCCTCAGAGGGTGGGTAGGTCAGCTGCAGCAAGGAGGCTGAAGGTACAAGGCAGCAGCGAGACAAAACAGCCAGCTGTCCTCATTGGACTAGCTGCTTTGTTTCTCCAGAGCCAATGGGGCCTCACACTTCATTTGCAGCAAACTGGGTGCCAGCGCAAATCAACTCACAGCTGTGAATCTTGCTTTTCTTGACTCAAAAGCAGGGCAATGGAATTCACACTTGATCTGAATGTGCTTTAAAATATCAATAGATCTATAATACACATGGAATGGCATCACAAAGTCACCTTACTGGTGTCCCCCATCCCACAAAGTTATACAAACATATTTCAGTCTTTTGCTCCTTGCACTTGTTCTGTAGCAAAAGAAATATTGTGATGATTGTGCGTGATGCATCTGCAGTTAACGCTAGGCGAGCATGCAAGTATCTATGTAAATACAGATATTTCTAACTCCTGTCCCAGGTAAATACGTTAATGAAATCCAGGACGCTCTTGTCACAAGCCAATATGGATTTCAAGGTTTTGAAAATGCAATTGTCACAGATATGGCCAGGAATACATATATGAACAGTTGCTGGTCCTGACCCAAAAGAACATGGAGAATGTTTCTGGGCATCAGAAGCTGAGTGGGCTTAATCTCTCTGCTAAATGTGCCATAAAGGGCATATACGGACCTAGAATATTCTTGGAAAGGGGTAAGAATCAAAAGAATAACACAATAATATGGCCTTTTGTAGACAAGAAACCTAACCCATCTCAATGTGGCCCAGGTGCAGAAGCATCTGAGAATAATGAGAATGTCCAGCTTCACAAATGCGAAGATCTTGTTCAAAGATGGGGTGTACTGGTTGAGGACCAATAGATATTAATATGTATGAGATACTTGTAAACAGGGCTTTTTTGTAGAAAAAGCCCAGCAGGAACTCATTAGCATAATAGACCACACCCAACAGCAGGAACTCATTAGCATATTAGGCCACACCCCTGATGACACAGCTCATTAGCATATTAGGCCACACCCCCATGTTACCAGAAGTGTAGTCATCCAGCCACACCTACCTTTTGCTTCTTATTCTGTTTACCCTGTTTGTTGTCAAAACCCAGGGCTTTTTTTTGTAACAGGAACTCCTTTGCATGTTAGGCCACACACCCCTAATGTAGCCAATCCTAATGAGTTCCTACTGTTGGGTGTGGCCTATTATGCTAATGCTGGGTGTGGCCAACTCAGGAGCCAGCCAGAACTCTGTTCCTGTGCGTTCCTGCCCCAAAATAGCCCTGTTTGTAAATACTATTTTCAAATAGACTTCATTAAGCCAAAACATAGCTAGAATTAACTAACAGTTTTTTATGTATTTTAAGAAGATGAATTCAAGTGTTGATAAATGTGCACAGTGTTTGACGTTATAAGATGATTAGTTAGTCAAGAATGTTTACCGTTATCAAGCAGTACAGATAGCTATTGTTCAGAAATGGTTTTAAAAATCTGTCAGGGCCACAAGATAACCACACAAGGGCCTAACACTGCGGCCATCAGTCCTGCTGAATCTAAAACAGCTGAGGTGGGAAGGGGCTGCAGTGGGTGGGGCAGCTTCCTCTTTCACAAACTGGAATGTGATAAAAAGGCAGGCCAAGCTGAGAGACGGGAGCAAGCAGGCCTGCAGCTACTGGGGGGCCCTTGGGCCATGCCCCCTCCCTAATCTGCACTGCCCCCAAATCAACAGGAGACTCGGCCTGGAACCAGTGGGCACCAGAAGGGGGAATGGGGGTGCTTTGTTCCCTCTCTTAGCAGCCAAGTGTTGCTCGAGGGTCCCTAAGCAAAGGGGGCTGTTGGGGAAGGGATCATTTTCAATCCCAGCATCTCCCTCTGGCTGCTCCACCAAGCTGTCCCTGCATGTCACATTGGCGGACACCCCTCGGAGCAGGGAATATGAGGGAGGGGGAGCAGGCCTGGGCTTGTCAGCCTCGGGCAGGGCTGGGAGGGAATTCCTTGCGCTCCTGCCACACTGTGCTACTCCCCAGCTCTACAGGTTGCCTCTCCAAGGGGCGCTTCAGTGAGGCAGTCCTGAACCCAGAGAGATGCATGTGATGCGATCGGAGCAGCCCCGACATTGTGTTCCGGAGGAGAGCTTCTTCCTCCTCTAAAGAGGTGCTCATTAGCTGGATGCCTCTTGTAAGCGGCACCTTCATTTCTTTCCATTCCAAGAATTATTGGGATGGGGAGGGGGGTAGAAAATAAGGCTAAAGGTGAGTCATCCATTTAGTCACAGAGGATAATATAATCGGGGAGGTGGTGTGTCTGTCTTTGGACTGCTTGTTTCCTGGCCAAGATACTAAAATAAACCGTGAAGTGGCTTTGTGTGAGTACCCTTGGTCCCCAGGGGAGTGGTGGAGGAAGGGGAGGGGGAAAGGGACTGCCAAGTTGCAAAAGGGATACCCGGCATACTCCCCCGCTCTGTATCTACATCACTTCTGGTGTATAAAGCCTTTGTGACATCAGAAGTAACATAAACATGTGGGGGCAGTACCCCCACT